ATAAACAAAAAAAAAATTAAAAAAAATTTTTTTTTTAAATATTTTTTTTTTGAAAAAAAAAATGTTTTCTTTATTTTGACATATTTTGGAAGATCTGAACTTTTTTTCAAAGCAATCGTACTGCTTTAACTGCATAGAGACAAAATATAAAGCGCGTAAGCGCCGCGTCGCTGTCTAACGGATGAATATTGGTACGGAACCAATTGGAATGCAAACAAAATTTATACTTATTGTTAAAATCTCTATAAAATATCTGATAATTTGATGTGCATATGTCTAATGATCATTTTTGACCGCCAAATGGCATTTTTTTTTACTTTTTTTGTTAGATCTCCAAAACCGCTAGACCTGCCCCGATGAAAATTTGATCAATTCTTCATCTCATCAATACAAGTAAAATGTTTTTCGAATTATTAAAATCGGACGCTCCGTTCTCTTAAAAACTGAGTTACCGTTTTCGTCACTTTTTGCCCCGTATCTTTGGAACGGCTAGACCTGCCTTTGCCAAAAACTAATCAGCACGTCTCCTTATCAATACGAATCGAATGTTTTTTGAATTATTCAAATCGGTTGATCCGTGTTCCCGAAATCGTCGACGAAAATTTGTATCCGCACATACAAACACACACACACACATCCATTTTTTCTAAGGTATGCCAAAATGTTCAGAAACCTTTGAAACGTCGAGAAATGCAAAAATTTTCATTTTCGATTTTTTGCGATTACTATAACTTGCCCTACGGGAAGTTAAAAATATGTATGTGCACACATAAGTAAGTGTTAATTTTTTAATAAACATAGATTTTTGTTGATATATATCTATGTATGTGTTTGTTACTTTAAATAAACACATAACAAAATTTTTCATACATTTGTTATACGGGTATTTGATTATCCGAATGCCTATCGACAACAATTAGTCCAAATTGATAAAAAAAAATTCTTTGAAAGTTTTAGCTCTTAATATTAACTTTAAGATAGTCCGCAATCCCAACTTGTTTTTGAGATATTGGCAGTGGATCTTTTTACCCACGAACTTTTAAGCTCCGCTCTCCCCTAATTTTTTTTTTTTGACTATGTATTCATTTTTCGCCAGAAACGAAATTATAAAATATTTTTCAACCGAAAAATAATAAGATTGTCGTTGGAAAGTGACAAATGAGTACAAGTCTTTGAGATCCCCGACGTGAAAAGCGCGGCTCGCGCTTTAAAATATTTAATATCTTTCGATGTAACAAAGTCTCAAATTGTAAAAAGAATTTTGTTGCAGAAAAAAAAGAAATAATATGTTTTTTTGGATCTATTCAAGTTGGGGTAAGGCTGAGTAAAACCTTTGTAAATATTTAAGGGTTGTTATTGTTAAGAAAATTGCAAAAACAAAAAAAAAAGTTTTAATCATTACAAAGTTCACTTCAATATGAGTGTAATAAAAAAATCATAATACTGATCCGATCAGAACATCCGGAGATAATTAATTTACCGCAGATGATGTTTATAGAAATTGAGCATAAAATCCATATTGCAAACGTAAATATTTACGTAAAAAAATTTTTTTCAGAAAAATCCTGAAATACGTATCAAATGATTTTATGTATAATATCTGTAAAAAAAAATTTCACACAATTATAAAATGTGACATTTTATTTTTTTCGAAAATCCGTACGATTTGTAAAAGAATGACCCATATACAGTAAACCCTCGCTTTACGCGGCAAGTGCGTACCGTGCAGTATGGGAACCGTGCTATAAGAAACTCGTATTTAACATACAATTCAGGCTAATTCGTAGTGCGTTCTATGGAACCTTACATAGTGCAGTATGGGAACCGTGTTATGAGAGACTCAGAGTTGGTACAAATCGCACCATTTTTATCGCGTTGTATGGAGACCAAGAAATACAACTTGAAGTAAGAGAAATACGGACGAAATGACGTAAATGACGTGACGAAATTGACACCTTATTCAAAAATTGGCGCGACGCAGTAATCAGCTCAAACGTGTTCTTAGGCGGCTATTATACAATCAGGCATGTCTAAAAGATAAAAGTCGATAACAAAATTTACAACAATACCCTTTTGCACAACGGACTTATGGGCTGTTGACCAAATACCGTGTAATAAGAAGTCCGTGTACTCGGAGGGATGTCGGATTTTTAGCTCCGTGTAGTATGGGAACCGTGTACCCAGAGTGCCGTGTAAAGCGAGGGCCTACTGTATATGTAAGTAAGTGATATGGTTGAGTTTATTGGTATCAGTCTCCAAATTCGACAGGTTAAAAAAATTAATAATAGAAATGTTAAGGAAATGAGAATGAAAGGTAAAATAATTTTATCTAGAAATAAATAAATAAGCATTTAGATGCTTACATTATTTTTCCTTTCATTCTCATTTCCTTAATTTCTATTATTAACTTCCTGAAGGAGAAGTTTGTTTTCATCAAAAAATTCGATTCGGTAAATTTATGATTTCTCAACGTTTCAAGCCATTCTGAATCGAATGAGACGAAACTTCAAAAAAGTATGTATGTGTGTTTGTATGTTCGTGTGTATGTGAACAGATATTTTGCTGTAAATCGACGTTTTCTCAAAAACGGCAAGATCGATTTAAAAAATTTAAAAGCCTTTCGATGTATCTCGATGAGGACTAGCGTTTACCAATTTTCGCGACGATCAGCCAAGCCGTTTCTTTGTAAATAGCAGAAAAGTAAAAAAAAATCGTTCAAGTTTTAGACCGCAGTTCTGAATCGATTTTGAAATTTTTATGCAGTTTTTGAGAGAAGTTTAATCCGAATAATTAATTCAAAAAATATTTTGCTTGAGTAGATGGTGTGCAAAAATGCATTTACAGAAAATTTAGTAATTTTGAAAATTAAAAAAAAAAAATGTGAAAAAAAAATTCTTTTCAAAAAATTCAAATTTTCGAAATTTTTCATCATTTTCAAACAAAAACTAAATTTCGAAAAATTAAAAAAAATGATTTCTTACAAAAATTTGAGAATATTTCGAAAATTAAAAAAAAATCGAATATTTTCAAAAATTTCCAAATTTAAAAAACGTTTTTTTATTAAATTCCAAAAAAATTTAAACTTCGAACAAAAAATTCTAATTTTTGAAAAAATTTCAAAATTTTGAAAAAGATTCTAAATTATAAAAAAAATCTAATTTGAAAAAAATGGACTCTTGTAAACGTACATATAAGTTGTTTATAAAATACGCTCATCACCCAATTTAAAAACCACTTATAAATTTACAGTATGTATTTATAATAAATAATCTATTTGAAAATCTTCAAAACTATTATTGATTATTTTCATTCGAATGTTTAATTAAGGTACAGAAAGTTCCAGCAATTTGCCATGCGCCCCACTAGTTTTTGGTAAAGATCGGCCGGGCCGTTTTCTTGTAATAAAGTGTTAAAAAAAATTCTTCCGACGATCTTTATGATTTTTTTTCAACGGTAAATACCATAGTCTTATAGATCATACTAATATATTACGGACCTAACACAAGTCGTTTAATTTAAAAAAACTGCAAAAATTAGTATCGTTTCTTTGGCATTTGTCAAAATGAAACTTTTCACCGACGTTTGTTAAAAAACTCCTGAGCCGATTTCAGAAATTTTAGAGCCATTTGATGTATCTCAATGAGGACTATCGTTTGCCAGTTTTGTGCGACAATCTGCCAAGCCGTTTCTTTGTAATTTAAAAAAAAGTGTTAATCTTTTCGTCCACATTTAAGCTCATACTACCGAATCGATTTTAAAAATTAAAAAACTTTTGAAAGATATTGCTTGGGAATGATACTGATTAGTTTTTGATGAAAATCTACCAAGCCGTTTTCTTTTAATTAACTGTTGAACAAAAAATAAGCTGATTTTTATGGAACTTTGTTTGGCGACATAAATCGTGGTCTTATAGAACTTACTGAAATATTACGGCCTTACGACAAGTAGTTTTATTTTAAAAATCCATCAAAGAGAAAAATCAAAAACGAAAAATCATGAGAAAATGGGTAGTTTTTTTGACGTTTGCTAAAATTAAAATTAGACGATATACTTGGATCACGATAGAGTACTTGGTCTTCATGATCGTACTAAACCATTAAATTGTTACGGAAAATCCACTCGGAATACTTTTAATTACTCATAAATTAATTTTAAAAGTTTATGTAACTTGCCTCAAGTCAAAATACGAATAGCAACTAGTTAATTTATTAATGGACAGGGCCATTTCATGAAGTGATAAAATTTTCTGGAAAAAAGATTTAGATTTTTTTTGTTTAGCTCTTTGTAATAGTTCTTATTCTTCTCATTTAGTGAATGATATAATTAAAAATAGATAACATTCTTTACAAATTACTGTCAATAATAATAATATTGTCTCATTAATCGGTGAATGGTTCTGAATGAAGGAAAGAAAAACGCGCGTCATTCGAAAAGCATTTTTTTTTATAAATTTTTATATTATTGGCAATTCAAGGTGGTACAATGTTCATCATGTCAGCAAGTTATATTCACAGATATAATTATAATTATTGAACACAGTTGTGTACCACTGCTGTAATTAAGTAATATGTTGGACATTGCCGAAATTTTAGTATGTTCTGTCGTCTGGAAGATCACACATGATATTTACAGGTCGAGTTTATTTTGCAGTCCATCGCGGAATTTATTAGCATTTGCATATTTTACTAATTCAACATTTTTCAAAAAACTTTCTCGGAGGATTTCTTCATTAAGATTAACTAAACATTTTGAGTAGATTAAAATTAATATAATATAAAACAAGACTGTCTGCTGTCGGCTTTTGAGCCGAAAACATCCTCCAAATGTAGTTTTGTATATTATATATTACAATTATTATGAATATGAATGAATGTGTGCAATAAAATATATCAGCAAGGGCTGAAATTTATGAATGAGAAAGATAAGCAATTATTGTTGATGGTGTATATTAGTATAATAATTATTTTTATTTGCATTATTTTCCTTAAGAATGTTATTAGATGAGATTCATGATGGAATGAATATCGAGTTATATTATCAATAACCTGTTTTTATACAATCCAGCTAAGTTTAAAAATGTACACTTTTAAGTTAAATTAGCAGCATTAATATGTTAATATTGATTGCATTAATATTGATATAAAAAACCTGAGTAAATTATGTGCTATCTTTATATTTTAGTCCTTGATTTTTTTTGGCATTATTAACACTCTTGCATTTTTATGATGCTTATTTTTACTATTGTGATTCAAATATAATATAAATATAAACTTTATTATAATTCATAATTATTAAAAATAATTCATGCTCATCAATTTCTGTAAATAAAGTTTTAGGGCAATGTTTGTTGGTTTTATTTTTTTTACGTGTTTTATATATTATTTTGAATATTTAACGATGATAAGTATCTCTAGTGGTGTCTGGATTGGTGAATTAGTTTTGGCAGGTCTGGCCCTTTCGGGATACCGAGTTAAATGTGCAAAAAATGACAGTTTTTGAGAAAACTAAGCATCCGATTCGAATCATTTAAAAAACTTTCTGATTGTGTTGATAAAACAATTGCTTTTGCTGAAAGTTTTTTTTTATTAATTTCCAAATTTTTTTTTTTTTAATATCGAAAGTAATTCGGATTTTAATTCTAATTTTAACTAAAGTTCTAAATATCACTTATTTACTTCAAATAAATAATTTTAACTTTAAAATTCAGTTTATATAATTCTTATGAATAATAGACAATGTCTTTCATTTTAAATACGATTAAAAGTTGTGTTTATTTTCGTTTCTGTAAACATATATAAACGTCGTCGTGTGATTCATAAACTCTCTTATTTTGTGTATAAAATAAGAATAATGAAAGTTACAGTATTTATAATGTTCTATTTGAAAACATTTAATAAATAGCAGTTTGCATTAAGGGGTTATATACAGTTAATCGGTCGAAAAAAGCCATTTTTCTATAACTTATTCTGTGAAAATTAATAAATTTATCAATACAAAAATTTATACACATATTAAAGCATATCGAGTTCGAATATATTTTCAAATTTGCCATAATTATTGCCCTAACAAGGTAACCATCAAGTTTACTCTTCTGGGATTTTGATGAAACTTTGCATGGTTGTAGAGTTGATTGTCAAACCGAACACCTTTAAATGTTATAGTTCTATAAGAAGCGGTTTAATTATAAAAATTCAATAAAAATTGATTAAAGCTGCGAAAAACGCGCTAAGCCCTATATCTACATAACCCTGTGTCTAGATAGCCGAGTGGTTAGCGGCGCTTACTCTCAACTTTTTGTTCGAGTCCTAGGCTCATATTCGCCAGTTCGAATCCTGCCAGAATTTTTTATTTATTTATTTATTTTTACATCTATTTGGTTAAATATAATAATAATTATTAATTTGTTACATATACTACACAAAATTAATTTAGCAATTAATCGCATGAAATTTTGAAATTAGGTTCATCTTAACCTCAATTTCAAAAGTGAAAACAATTCGGGTTCCTCCACCACCTCCTTAGGGGGTTCCGATCCCTTAATAAATAAGTGGACATTGAACCGTTTTATTGCTAATAAACATTTTTAATATTATAGGATGTAATTAAAAAATATTTTTAATACATTTACCTTGCAATAAAATCATTTTCAACCCCGTGAAAACCCTAAAACCCTTCAAAAAACCTCTAAATTGAAAAAAACACTTAAAAATAAATTTCAGTATGATATAATAAGAATTACGTATAAAGTAAATGATATTTTATGTTTTCTATCTTGATTATCAAATTTTTAACCCTTTTAGATCCTTAAAAACAACCCCATTGAAAGAAAATTAAGAAATTCAAAATGATATGAATGTTATTTCAATTTCTCGAAAATAATTAATAAAACTACCCTTAAATAAAAACAGTTATTAAAACACTAGCACCCAGTATAATTTTGTCTAAACTCGTATATTTAATACAGGGGCGTAGCGTGCATTGGCGGGGCCCCATATCAAATTTTTTTTGGGCCCCTCTCAGATAAGGCAGAATTTTCTCACAATAAAATATAAAACTAAAAGAAATTTTCAATCATCATAAATATTTATCTATCCCTTTCCCAAGATTTCTACAAACAATTGAAATTCAATATGCACATTTATTATATCATTTATAGCTTTTGACGGTTATACTTTTTCTAAAGTTTATGCTACTATGAACAATGATGGGCTGACTGCTGTTCCTTTATCATTGAAGTATTTAACTTCCCGAAAAAAAAGTATGCTAGTGAATGTTTTTGCCAGAAAATGTTCGATTTTTCAATGATAGGCCGAGCCGTTTCCTTCAAATTGAGAGAAGAGTACTAAAATTATCGTCCTCATTTCAAAATCAAAAACTGTTTGGATATATCGACCGGACCGCATTTACGTAATTAGTCGTAATGTAAAAAAAATATTCGATTTTGATAAAACTTTCCATGATCATAACCATCATAATTACTAAAATATTATGAGCCTGCAACAAGTCATTATTTTAAAAATTCATAAAAATTTGGAATAAATCTGAATTTTTATGGATTGATTAGATTATTTACACTAATCGGAAAATACTCGCAAAGTTCCATAGCTTACAAATAGTTCGCTAATTTTTTAGCAGTTTTATTTTTGAAAATCTTCTTCAGCGTTTGCGGTGGCAATTGGAAGGGTCACAAATAAAAGCATGCTGTTAATACCTCGAGAAAATTGTATTCAAGACTATTGAATTTTGTCAGCAATATAAATAAATACTGAATTTCATATTTTCAATATCTTTTAAGAACTTACTTTACAATTTGTTATAAAAATTAACAAATATGATTTTAATATATTCAGACGAAAGTTTCTAATATTTCGTAATTAATAAGTTTTAATATTTCGATATTAAAAAAAAGTTATGTTTCTGGAAGTGAATTCTGGATGGAATGTGAATTACTTTAATTCTGGTGGAAATGGCGCTCATTAAACCATATGATTTAAAAGAAAAAAAACATCGTGTATGCTTACTTCTTATTTGCATGATAGCTCACTTATTTTATACGCAAAATACTTACAACAGCACACATTTTAAAGCTTATGTTGAGCACTATAAAACTCAATTTTACCGAAATGCATAAAATGTAAAACCTCGCCACTAGATGGCTTTAAATACAACAATTAAATCTTGAATGAAATAAAAAACGACTTTGCTCTTTCAAATCTTGCTTAATATTATTCCCAGAACACTTTATATAACACCGATTTATTAAGATTTTTATTGACATTACTTTGTTCATTACATGATTTTTGTTAAAATGTATATTTTAGGAGATATTTGCAAAAAAAACGAAGTGGCCAGCAACTTGAAAAGTATTAGTTTTTTTGAAAAACTATAAAAGACATTTGTTCTTATAATTAGTTCTTCTATCTATTTCCGACGTTATTGTGAAAAAATGTAATTACACAATTGAGAAGGGGTGTCATTCTCCCGGGGGTGGTGGCGGAACCCGAATTGCATTCACTTTTGAACTTGAGATTAAGATGAACCTAATTCCAAAATTTCATTCAATTCGGAGCACAGTAAAAAAATTCAGACTCTAAACGCTCAGTTTACTGCACTATATGTCATTGCTTTGCTATTGGATTTTGAATGTATAGCATAAAGCACGTATAATTAATGTTATTACATGACACGCCACCACTAAAGGATATTTTTGGTTCTGTAAGAATACAATAAAATTATCATCCTCGATAAATAATAAAACAATTTGTCATAATATAATAGAAAAAAATGACATTAATAAGAATAATATATTATGACTTTTGCAACTAACAAAAATAATATTGATGGAAACAATTTGTCATTGCCTTATTACTGATATAATTGTTTTTGCTACATAATTTGATTCTGATAAATTATTTTGCAATTTAAAATTTTATAATAGTGTTGTGTAATGTTGCCTTGCAGGGGAGATTTATTCGAGGAAAAACTCTAAATCCTTATAGACTAATAGATAAAGTTTATTAACCTTTGTTACAGAAATATCAGTAGAAAATTATATGAAGTTTATTAAATCATATATTAAACTTACGTTATTGAATTGATCTAGCGTCGCCGTCGCTGCAGTCCAAGAGAGTGAGTTTTACGTGTGTCTCCTAGGTTCTAGTCGTTCGGGTTTCCTTCGAAATACTTCGTGTCCTAGACTCGTATCATAGTGGTACATACTAATAAAATATTGGCTATAGGGGTGTGCAGCGGGCATAACATTCCTCCCCCCTTAGAGAAAGATTATAGTTTTTTTTTCAAAATATAGATACCAATTTTACAAAAATACATTAAAACTATAATCTAAAATGGAATAAAGAAAACACGAAAGATAATATATATATATATATATATATATATATATATATATATAATCTAAATTTTATATAATTTAGATTATATAAAATATAATCCAAAATGAAATATAGAAAACATGAAAGATAAAAAATATTTGAATAAGTCTAAAATATAAGGAAATAATTACAAGTATTGAATTAATATAAGAATTTTTACAAAGATAGTCTAGATATGAAAAGCAATCAGAAAAGTATTTGAAATGAACTTAATCTATGAAATAATTATTAATTACTAGAAATATGGTTTTATTCAATCCATTTTTTTTTAGTCTTTAGCCATGGTCAATGTTCAGTTGGTCATTTTTGACCCACGCAGATGTAAGTTTTTAAAGTGGTTATATAAAGAAAACTGCTGAATCTCACTCAAAATTAACATTACATTTTATAAAACAATTAAATAGTGTATAGTTAAAATTTATATTAAGGTCTGGTGAACTAAATCACAGTGCTCACAACCCAAAAAACTAACAACAAAAGTAAATACTTTTGTTATGGATTTTCAAAGATTACCGTTTATCTCCCGATAGCAAAGTCATAAGAATCAAGGTTATAGCTGGTTATACATCTTTTCGCCTCTACTTTCAAATATTGTTGTTAAACAAGGCTAGACTTCACTGGTTTTTAAGATATTGGTGGTGGATCTTATTAACCCCAGATCTTCATATTTTACTATCCATTCTTCGATAAATTCATAGAAAAATTTTCCAGTTTATTCTTCAAAATTAGTGGGAAATAACCTTTAGTGAATTATATTTTACATTGCATTATCCAATGATTGTTAAAGTTCTTCATCTTTTTCAATTTGTAGAATGATTTAATAAAACATGAATGATACCTGACTGTGTCTAAAATGCATGGATTTTGACAGATCTTTTGAAAGAAATTTCTTCAAAATAGTAGATCTTCAAAATTGTAGTGACCCATTTTTCTGCTATACTTGTTCTAGTA